ATATATATAATTCATTAAACAGTCAATGGGAGGAGTTGTGGTGCAGAGTTTAGAGAAGGTGAGCCTGTGATTGGTAGGTTGCTAGTATTAATCCCCTGACTATACATCAAAATGTCCACTCTGGACCCTGAAGAATGGAGCAGCAGAAAGACTGAAAATACAGTGGACTGCAAATGTATTATTAATAAATCTAGAAAGTTACTTTCAGTACATTTCAAAGTGTAATTTCATAAGCTAAAAGTAGACTTAAAGTGTACTGCTAGTAAACTAACAGTGTACCTAAAAGATACTTCAGAGTGTACTTTCACAAGCTTAAAGCAGGACATTTTAATCCCAAGAAGTACACTTGTTAGTAAAGTGTACTTGATGAATAAAAGTATACTTGGGGAAATAACTGACTATTCATGACGTACTCGAGGCTATACTTCTTTTTTTGGTAAACTCATATCAGCTGTCAAGCACGGTGGTGGAGGATGATGATTTGGATTCGTTTTGCAGCCAGAGGGCCTGGGTGCCTTGTAGTTTTAGTGTTGACCATGAATTCCTCTAAATGCTAAAGTATTATAGACTCAAATTAGAGGCCATCTGTTCAATAGCTGAAACTTGGACCAAACTGGTCGATACAGGAACACAATTTAGCTGTATAACCAAATGATTGTCAAAGAAAAAGGACTGTTGCAATGATCTGTTGAAATTATGCTGCGGTGGGACCTTAAAAAGGCATTTTTCACAAAACTTAATGAACTGCCATAGTTAAACTAAACTAAACTAAAACCTCCACAACGCTGCGAGACAGAAGTCTTACAAAACTGAACCACAAATCATCACTTAGTTTTTCACACACTGCTTCTGCATTTGAGTTTGTTTGGTTTTACATCAATAAGGTTCGTTGTAGTCAAATGAACACTGACACTATAGTTAATTTTGTGTTATTTATCTGATATTAGGACTCTGTAAGATCAGATTTTTAATTCATTTTTAGCCGTTATTCATTCCAGTGCCCGTGTAGTGTGAATGAAGTGCACATAGAGGTCAGTGTGTTTCTGTCTCTCCTCCTTTCTTCAGCAGAGCGTCGAGGTCATTTAAAAAGAAAGAAACTCGCCCATTGTCCAGCATTTGCTGCCCGTTAGTGGAGTCAGGTGCTTGTGTTTAGAGACTGAGGAAACTTTTTTTTCTCTCTCTGCAGACCCGGTTCCTGCAGACATGACCTCCAATTCCAATTTATCCAACATGCGACGGTTAGTAGAACAGCTGAAACTTGAAGCCAGCGTGGAAAGAATCAAGGTAAAGAGAGAGTTTTGACGTTTTTGTCTTTTTTTAAGAACGTTTTTTTTTTTAAATGTGCAACCAATAAATCATTATTGTACTGTGAAAAGTTCGGCTACATTTGATTCCAAATTGCAGTTTTGAATGTTTATCTTCCATCCTCCCAACTTACTCTACTTTTCTTATTGAATTATTTGAAAATGTTATGAAGCTAGCAACACCAAAAAGTAAACCGTTTCTAAATATTGACTTTTTTTTAAATGAGCATGACTAAAAATGCCAAAATTCATGAGCCTAATTTGTCTTTATTTACTTAGACAATATATTTTTCTTAGGGCCTACAAATGATTATTTCTGCAGTGTCATGAGAAAAAGCAGAAAGTATGAGCTTTTTTGATTTATTATTGAAATACTTTCTCAGTTCTTTGACAAATCATAATGAAGCTCATCAGCATAGTTTATTTACAACAGTTCTACATCAACCCAGTTGTTTTAAATCCATACAGACTGCATGTAATTCTGATTTTATCTGGAATGTGCTGAATGGTGTTCCAGGTGTCCCAGGCAGCAGCAGAACTGCAGCAGTACTGTCTGCAGAACGCCAGCAAAGATGCGCTGCTGGTGGGAGTCCCCACAGGCAGCAACCCATTCAGGGAGCCACGCTCCTGTGCCGTGGTGTGAAAGGTCAGAGCCTGAGCTTTTACCTCATCTAAACATTTTTTTTAACTTGAAATAAAGAATTCAAAGTTTTGCACCTCTTGCAGAGCCTGAAGTCACGAATACAACCATGACGTCTCACTCAAAAGAAAACATTCTTCTTTTTTATTTTTGTGTTTTTTCTGAAAAAAATGAACTTTTTTAATAGTTTTTGATACTTTTAGAGTTGTTCTATTTTTATTGTGTGATTTCTGGGAAGGAATGTGTCTGACAGATACTGCCATTATCTGCAATTTGTCCTGAGCGGATGTTTTAGCGTGCTCTCCAAAGGACACTTTGGAATCTCATGGCGCTGGAACTTCCTGAATTTGAGTCTAAGTTAGGAACCCAGCCAGAGAGAGGAAACTGAATCTTCCTGTCTGCACTGAAAAGATCAAATGCAAGATCTCTCCTCTTTTAATTTGGACATGAGCTAAAGTAATGCTAAATTATAAATATGATGGGTTTTAATACTTTTTAAATTAGAGCATTACTGAATCTTTATGGTGTAGAAAGTAAATTGTATAAATGATAATGTTTTTTTTTCAAATGTTTAGTCACATACAATATTAGCATTTTTCTAGATTTGTTGTAAAAAATTTAATAAAATTGACTCTTCACCTTAGATTTGAAACAATTAGCACATAAACAGAGCTGTTGCGGTCTAAATATTATCCGTCATGAGACAGCCCTCCTAGCTTTCTTTTTTGTCACTTCCTTTTCCTCTTGGTGCACTTTTAGGGCTGAGTCTCAGTAAATTTCTTACTTTGTTTCCTTTTTTCTGCTGAAAAACTTTGCTGAAATATTCTTAGCACTTAAAGGATAAAGTTTAACTTTTTAAAGACATTTCTTGCATTAAATAAAAAAAAAACATTTAAGTGCATTTAAGCTAAAAGTCAAAAGGTAACATAAAATTGTAACAATCAAAGAAATAAAATCTATGAACTTTATTCTGCTCATCTTTATGTCAGTTTGTGCCAAAATGTAATGAAAGTTTTGATGTAAAGATTATGAAGAATATAAGAATGTATACAATTCAAATCGATGTAGGCTGTAAAGAAAATGAGAAATGTTTTTTTTATTTCTAAGTTTACTTTTAAAAAAAACTGCAAAGAGTGAGATCCACATCTGTGTGGAGCTACAAGTCAAATAAACATGTACTTTTACGCCTTGCATGTCTGTGTACTCTGTTCCAACTTTTATTATTCAGCAGAACACACTGAGTGGGTTAAACCAATGGGATAACACAACTGTCAGAAAGAATGGTATGTGTAGTCTAAATTTGTACATGTAAGTCAATAAACGTGCATAAATTTTAGCTTTGTAATCATGTAAAAATTTTCTGTGATAATAAAAGTTTAAAAGTTACAAATACAAGTTACAAAGTTACAACAGGTGTAACAGAGTTACTTGTGGCTGACAGCTGCAGGCTGAGGTGAAGAGAAGCCAGCTTTGTCCGCGGGGCGGGAGGACAGATTCCTGGGCTCAGGTGCTGTGTCCGACAAGGCAACACACAAGGGTGTAGCACCAAATTCTGGGCCCTGTATACTATCGATGTCAGTGGGCCTCTAGCCATGCTAGTGCACGAGGTGCATAAGCAAAAAAAGAAAATGGGGGTATTCTTTTAAATAAAGAAACATAAAGAGCGTTTTGAACTACAATCAGATCAGCTTATATTGATGAGTGGTTCTTTCTTTCAGCTGAATTGATGCATTTGGCCTACCTGTGTTCAAATACCTAAAACATTATGCTACATCTGGATTGTGTACTAATATTGTGATCCATGACACTTGAGCAAATTTTGATTTAAAAACATTTATTCTTGAACGTTAGACAAACATTTGCTACAAGACATGTGCTCAATTTAACTGTCTGCACACGTCATAAACCGAACACCAAATGTTTCTGTTGTGATGCAGTAATGGTCAAACCATATTAACTGAGATTATGTTCACCTTTATTAAACCATGTAGTGTATCAGCCATTTAAACTCACTAAGAATACCGTTTGATAATCACCCATAGTTTCATACAGAGACACAGGTGGAGCTCTACAGGTGTGTTTATCCTCTCACAGGAGCATCAGAAGCCTTGTAATTTGTGTAGACACAGTGAATGAGGTCTGGGGGTCCTCCCCCAGAAATTTTTGAATAAAATAGAGGCTATTTCCTGATTTCTAATGTATGCTGTTAAAGATAACTTTACGTACACAAATAAAGACTTAATTAGAGACAACTAGAGACAGATTCTTCGTTAAACGAGTTGCATCGTCCTGTTTTTAAACTCACTTACACTGCAAAAACTGTCCATCTTACCAAGTTTTAAAATCTTATATCCAGCCAAAAAGTCTATTTGATCTTGTTTTGAGACTGATTTACTAAACAAGAACTGATAGTGTAAGAATAATCATCTTGTTTTCACAATGTGTAAGATTATTTGTCTTTTTAGCCTGAAAATTTGACTCAAATTAAATGAAAAATTTCAGCCAATGGAGTAAGAAAATTTTACTTGGTAAGATTCTTGAAACAAGAAAATATTGAGTCAAATCAAGTATTTTAAGATTCTTACCAAATTTTCTTACTCCATTGGCAGAAATTTTTGACTTAATTTGAGCCACGGCCCAACTGTGAGCCGCGAGCGCCCCTTGAGGGCCTCAAAAGAACAACAGTTTTTAACTTTGGGCCGCCGCGGGACGGCGTTGATTTTGAATGAGGTGCAATACACATTCTCACCACTAGTAGCAGTAGTGCGCCACTCTTGTTTAACAACGTTTTTAAAATATGGAAGAAGAACCTTAGAAACCTGCTGAGAATGAAAAAGTAGAATGCAAAAAATGAAAGTAACTTGACAAAAAACACCAAAGTTTTTCACTAATGTGAAGGGGGTCAGTGTATCTTTTGGTCATTGGATTTTCGTTTTAGAAACGTGTATTAAAAAACAAGAAACGAGTGGATATTTGATTTTGTTTTAAAATTCTGAAATTAAAATTAAAATACAAAGCATTTCTCATTCTTTGTGTCAAAAAGGGATGAAATGATTTGAGTTTCATTTTCTGTTTCAGATAGCAAAAAAAGAAGAAAATTACTTTAAAACAGAAATGAAAAAGCCTTGTTTGTTAATCCAAGACATTGTGCTGTATCCCTAAAATATTTCTGTTTTACGAGAAGGGGCACTGGCAATATCAAAAGTTATTCAATAAACATCCCATTACAAGTAAAAAGCATTGATACTGACTTCAGTATCAAATATATTTGCTAAGTATTCATCTGGTATCAGATCAATAGTTGTATACCTCTGTCAGTCTGCCCCAGGGCAGCTGTGGCTACAATGTAGCTTACTGCCATCAATGTGTGAATGTGAGTGTGAATGAATGATGCATGAAAATTGTAAAGCGTCTTTGAGGGTCTCGAAAAGCGCTATATAAAACTAATGCATTATTATTATTATTATTATACCGCCCACCCTTCGCTGAAAGGAACACTCAGAGGACGCAAACTGACAGGGAAAAAAAGCACAGATTTTGTCAAAACACTTTACTTAAAGCATCAACATTCAGTTTTTGGAATCAAACCATTTGTTTGGCAAAATGTCTCATAAACCATTAAAACTTTCAGAGCATAATCATTGATCATCTACAGCTGATTAACTTTTGGAGTTGAGCCCGTTCAGTATTGCCCTCCCAACTAATCAATCTTAATCCACTCATGAATGTCTATAACTCGATCACTTTCACAGATATTAAATTCAAATTTAGTGTGATTGTAGCTGAGAATTGTCGACACAACTTAAGATTTTGTTTGGTTTTTAACAACATATGACCAAAACAACTTATAATTCCAACCTTTCTAATAATAAAACAATCTTATTTTAATATTTAATTTTTTGTGAATACACCTCTGCAACGATCAGTTAAAGTTTATATTGCTTTTTCCCCCAAAAAAACATAGATCAAGTCTAAAAAAATCACTAAACATTTTTAAAAATAAAACTTACACATATAAATACAAAATATGCATGATATTCAAACATATTAAGTTATTTATTCTGCAAATCATGGACAACATTTTAAAATTTACAACAACTAATTGTTTTTGCTAAAACTGTTCTTTAAGTATATGATCAAATTCTGCTATCTGGTGGGTAAAATGAGAATAACATTCAAATCTTGGAGTTTCTCCAGTGTGGCTGCAGCCGTATTTGAATAGAAAGACTTCAAAAGTCTGTGAAAGAAAGTATGGTAAAAAATGTATTCTAAATCTGCTTAAAGTTTTGCAGTTAACACTCTCAGCTTTGTTGAAAAAGACAAGTTTTGGAATTTAGTTATTCTGCATTTAAAAACATCATTGTTGGTCTGATCATTCAGACTTAGCCTGAAAAGCCCAAAAAGATCCCAAACATGGAATTCTACAAATTAAACTACATTTTTGGTAATAAATTTATTACTTTAAATCATTATGCATCATCACATCTTATCTGACTGGTTTTGTTTATTAATTTGTACATCTGCCAGATCAAATAGTTTCCACGAAGAGCCTGGGAATATTCTTGAACATAAACAAGTCCTAACTTCTGTCCTCCTACACCAGTCTGCTTTCTGTTTGTCACACTGGATGAAAGTACAAACAGAGTCGTAAACACTGGGCTCGCTAACAGGTGGCACTTTCCAGACTCCACCTGCCTTTCTTTCCTAAGAAAACAACACCAGGGCAACACGAGCCCTCCCTCTCAGTCCTGGGGAGGGACTAACCTGAATACTTTGTGTAGTTTCCTTTAAAGGTGTGGGCGGGGAGAGCAGAGTTGGATTTCAGTGACACCCACTTTTCTTGACACACAAGTTACATTTTAGCTCTGACGGAGTCCAGAGAGCCCTTTTGGACTGCAGTCTGTGTGTGTGTGTGAGTGATCAAAGCCTCATTTTAGTCTGGCTGACATGAAAGGTAATCGCCATTGATGAAGGACCAGAGTACGGCGCACACATGGGGAAATTCCAGCTCTTGTTCACACCTTTCTCTAAGGTCACTGACCTCTGAACAGGTTTCAGTCCAGTTGGACTTCTTTCTGCCAATGAAAGTGGATTTTCAAGAATCAAATGAACTTTTTTTATGAAGTGAGGAGATGGTAAAGGTGTACAGACTCTATGTGGAAATATTAGCAGGTAAGACTTGTATACTCACCTTTTTTGTCCTTTTTAAGAGGCATGTTTAAAGTGACTTTTATAAATAAATCTTATCAAAAGCTAAGTTTCATTATCTGTTCAGCTAAACCAGACTTTAAGGACAGTGTTTACCCACTAAGCAGTATCTGTGGTAAATTTTAGTGTCAGTTAATGATTGAAGGGAGAAGCCGGACACAAGCAATATATTCTCCATCGTTGCAATTCATTGTTAAGGCTGTTTTCTCATCAAGTGTCACATTGGAAAAGTCTGATATCCCTCCTGTGGTACAGCCAACGATTCACAGCTAAAGTCAGTGAGGGTAAAGTGGCAGTGCTGCCACCTCTAGTGGAAGCACCACTAACGTGGTCACGTATTGGTTTCACCTATTGCCCGTGTGCAAACATTTGTTTTGTGTGATTGTCTTTGTTTTTGTTTTGTTTGTGTTTCCGTCCGCAGCTCTGGCCTTAAGCAAATACTGCCTGGCAGAAGGGAATGCCACTGACGTGTCCACCGGTCGAACTCCTCTGCACTGTCACCTCCATGGCCACAGAGACAACTGCACAGGTAGAGATGAGCAGGAGGCCAGAAAGGGGGCGGATCAGCAGTGGCACAAAAATGATACGACAAAAATAATTCTGTCGACACTTAAAGTGAAGCTTTAGTTTATGTCGAACATCAGCTTAGATGACATCAAATTTTATCTGCAATCTTCCAAAGATATTTACTTCCAATTGATGTTCTAGTCATTTTGAAGCGAGGTTATGTTGAAACGTTCTGAACAGCTTAAGCAGCACGGTGAGTTAGTGTTTAACCCTGTTGCCTCACAGTGAGACGGTCACAGGTTCAAGCTTGGGGTCCTTCTGTTTGCAGTTTGCATGTTCTCCTCATAGGATTTGCTTGGTTAAATAAAGTTTATTAAAATTAATAATAAATATCTTACCTGCCGTAGATAGCTTTATTGATCATGTAGCTCTTATAGTTATTTGCAAGTTGCGGAGCTGTAGCGTATTTGATCCAACCTGAGGTCACTTCCAGCAGAAATAATACGAATCTCCAGCATGAAATTGTTATAAGTTTTAAAGATTGGAGTTGTTTTAAAATTGTGTTTTGATTTGGAAGTGAAGACGATCTTTCAATTAGTAAATCAGTTTAAGTCTAGACTGAAAACACATATTTTCTCTGCCCGTCAATCAGTTGAAATAAGGAAGAAATGTATTTAATTGATCCAAAGTTTTAGGAAATTGCTTAAATTAAGCTGAAACTGAGTATATCTTGGTTTTTATTTTTATAATTACTTTGTTGGTATTTTATTGTCAATTTTATCATCATATTAATAAAATCTTTATCTTATATATCTTATTTATTGTGCAGCTGTAGTCACTTTGAAGCACTCCATTTTCTATACAAATAAACTTGGAATTGAATTGAAGATGGAAGTCATACAGTCTGAGTATAACACCGCCAAAGCTGATTGTTCTGTCTTATAACAACTCCAATCTTCTGAATTGAATAGAATTTTATGTAAATGTTAATTCACATTAGAAAGACTTCAGTGGAAATTAGTATTTCTGTGAAAAAACCCAAAGCTGTAGTAGAAATGCTACAGCTAGCTGCTGCTGTTTTTTGCACCTTTAAATCACCACATAAAGTAAACATCTATGAAATGTGAAACAGACAATAATGAAATGAGCCTTTATGAAAACTTTAAATTCATTATCTTCAAACTGAGCTATTCCATAAGCTTTAGCAGGTAAGATAATAATTGTTCACAAACTTTTGTCAAAGCCTTACTGCAAAATGGCTAAAATATCCTCTCAAATCGTTGGAAATGTTGCATTTTCAATTAATCTGTATTGATTTACAGTTAAAGAGCAAATAATCTCAAATTACAGCAGTGCTGTCAAAGACTGGATATATTTTTTGACAATTTTATGACCAGATAAATAAGTCACTGTCATAAATACTTATAGGTATTTTTTATTCTGCAGAAGTGTTAAAATACAGAAAGTGTATAAATAAACAGCACAAAACACCACAAGTACAAGTAGCATAACATATTTAAAAATCAAAACTATACTGTACTACATCAGTACAAATATAAATGTAGCCCCCATTCACCAGGGAAGTGAAAACTGTCTTTTTGTAGTTTTTAGATGGTTGAAGAAAAGATGATGAAAGCGAATGATTAAAAGATGCTCTTTAGTCCTTGTGTGCAAGTTTTTATTGTTCTTAATCTCCTGGTCTAAAGCAGGTGGAAAAAACAGGTTGTCAGTTTTGATGTTACTGTGTGTCTTTTGTTATTTTAGAACACTTAAGTGTTCAGACCTGGATGCTCTATTGGTCTGTACTGTTTGTAAAAGTTTACAGTAAGCATGTATGACAACACACTGTCTTCTTTTTTGTTGTAAAAGAGATAAAGGCCCTTTAGATGAGAGGAGAGTCTGACCTGTTTAAGATCTCACTTCACAAAAACAGGTGTGAACAGACAACAGACACTCCTTTGTAACATAAAATCCTTGTTTTATTTTGTAGACAGTTAAAGTGAATCAGGTTGGTGAGGTTCCTTGATCTCCCAAAGACCAAAAGATCCCTATAGGTCTTTTTGAACACATTTTCCATTCACCGTATGTTGGACATCCTCTTCTCTCAGTATTGTCTGGGTGTTTTAGTGTGGTCAGAAACCCCTAAGGTTGGGTTGGGGTTCAGTCATGCATGAAGCTCGTAAAGGGTTGGGCTTTTCCCTCCTCTAAGAGGCAGTGTCATGAAATCCACAGCAGCCATCTGGACATGTATTGTTGCTGATCGGTGGGGTGTAGCCTTTTGGTTTGGGATCAAACAACTAAACTCTCTGATTAGAGCAGTGTTTCACAACCCTGGAGGCACACTGCCCCGCATGTTTTAGAAGTTTCCCTGCTTTAACACACCTGATTCCGAGGACTGCAGTTCAACAAAGGCCAGCTAATCAGTAACCAAGTGAAATCAGCTGTGTTGAAGCAGGGAAACATCTAAAACACTCAGGACAGTGTGCCCTGAGGAGCAGGGTTTAAAAACACTGGATTAGAGGACCACCATGAGCAGAGCTCTCATTGTGTAGATATGAACTTTGATTGTCTGATATGTTTTTATTCACGCTTCTGTTGGCTGCTTCATGTCACCTGATCTGTTTTAATGGAAGAATAAAACAAAGATAACGCTCTGTCTATTTTTAGATTTCACTGCTACTATTAAAAAAGGGTTGTTTTATTTTTGCCCCATCTCAACTCAACATCTATATGACCCAAAAACTTGCGTATCTCCAGAACTACCTCATTAAACATCGAAATGGGCGGTCTTTTTTTCCCTTTTCAGCACTGAGGTCGCTGCTGTGAGCCCGTTCTCATGTTACAGCTAGCAAATGGAGCGCTCCCTTTTGATGTCACCTGCGCGGTTGTATTTCTTTACACGTTCGTTTTGTGAGAGATTATTTCACTTGGAGGAGGTTTTAGAGATAGCGGCAGCTTTGTAGAAAGCACTACGTGAAACTGACGGTCAGAAGTTCAGCAGCTGTTGCAGGATGAGGCAGCAAATAAAGCAGGCCACAAGCAAGGAGAGAGGAAATCCTGGTCTTCTATGTTTCACTTGGCAATGTACTGCTGGAAACAAATGCTTAATAAGATCTTGATGACTTGTCTTGGTCTTTTCCTGGCAATGATTAGGCTTCCTCTCTGGATCACATAGCATGCTGTCTATTTATAAATCAGGTCATGGCAGAAGGTGAAGATGAATGTAACAGACGGTGGTGGACAAAGTACTCAGTTTCCTTACTTGAGTCAAAGTACTGATCCTACTGGTCAAATAAAACTCTAATAAAAGTAAAAAGTAGATCTGTCAAATTGTTAAGTTAAAGTGTGCTTTCAAAAATTTTTAAGTATTTAAACTACTCAAAATTATGATTATTTTTTAACAATGCCTAGTCGAGAAAAGTTAAACAGATCAGTAACTCCAAGACTACTACTACTACTACTAATAATGATGATGATGATGACGATGATGATGATAATGATGATGCTGCAGTATATCACTTTTCCATAATTTATATCTTAATTATTTCCTTTTACAATAACAGTCAGCTTATATTGACCACTTTAAGGAAAAGGCTCAGAACAGTTTTGGTAGAATCATGTTAATGACAAATTAATGAGCTCTGAATCTACCGGTAATCTGAGCTTTTTAGTTGTTTTTTGTAATATTTGTACTAGTTTGCTGAAATAAAAATAATACTTAATACAATAAACTAGAAACACTTTTGTACAAAACAATTTAATGACATTTATTTGGTAGAAATCCATTAATGGTACAAAGGGAACAGTCTAAAATGCTCAATTTAGGTTTTAAATGAATCCATGTTAAAATCAAGACTAATCAGGATTCAAACAAAGACTCACCATACTGCTGAAACCTCTACCAAAACATTTATCTTCTCCTTGCAACCAGTTTAAAGTTGCTCATCACCACCTACTGTATGTGATTTGTATTCTTACAGTTTCTCAGTAGTATAAAAAAGGTAAAAACTACACAAACATAATGTTTTTCAATAAAAAATGCTACTCAAATAAAGTACAAATTCTAGAAAACAGTACAAGTAAATTTACTTTTACTGCCAACCTCTTTTGACAAAGCCAAGCTGACAGAAATGATTCTCTTGCCTGCAGAAAAATCCTAAAGCTGTCCAGAGAACCCCACATCATCAAGTGGATGCAGATATTTGTATTTCAACCAGTTGAAGGTTGATGTTGTTGAATAAGTAGTGAATTTACAGATGAACTGTGGTTGTTTCCTATCCTTCAAAATAATCTGGGTTAATGATTATTATCCCTGATGGCTTTAAAAGATCTCATTGACTAAATATTTGATATAAATCACCTTAAATACACTGCCTGGCCAAAAAAAAAAGGAGAAAAAATAACCGATGATGCATTTTTATTTTGAAATGAAGTTAATATATTAACTTAGGTTCGGGAGCAGGACCACACCAGAAAACCACACCTCCAATTTCCCCACCGGCCTATTTAATCTCTGCTAACCCTTTCCTCTCAGTCTTATGTTTTCATTAACCCCACCCTCCCTTCCCCTTCGTCCTGCTTCACCTCATCCCTCTTCATCCCATCGCCTCTTCCCCTTCCTTCCCTTCATCACATCATTCCCATCCTCCTTTTCCTTCCCTTGATCTCATAACCATGCTCACTTCCTTTCGCTGCAGGTTCCGTCTGCGGTGTCCTACGCTGGCTCAGGAAAATTATATAAAGGAATCCATTTTACTGAAGACCATACTCACACATGGACTGTTCTTCTCTGAAGCCCTCCAGCATTCTCCCCAGATGACCTAACATAGCTCCTCCATCCCCTCATCCCTTCATCCCCTCATCCCTTCAACCCCTCCCTACAATAAATCTTTAAATTATATCTTTGTGACGTGGTCCTTGCTAGTGAATGGCCATTTAATCCAATTACTTATGTCCCTGTAAACGTAGCTGCTGTCATCTTGGAATATATCAGGGACAAAAAAAACCCATTGATGGAATAACCTGGTCATTCAGTATATTCAGGTAGTCAGCTGACCTCATACTTTGAACACACACTGTTGCTAAACCTAGACCTGACCAACGGCTGTGACCCCACATCATAGACCTTAGTTAAATCTAGGTGGCGAGTCACACAGGGCTACGGACTGGAAACCCTCCATCCACCCATGTTTGTCTAGATTTTTGTCCCACAAGAGAGAAAACCAGAATTGGTGTCAAAGATTCGACTAAAAAAATCATTTAATCAAAAACGAGCCATATAATTATTAGAAATAAAAAAAAAAACAACTAACTTCAGTTGAACAGTTGCTGAACGTGGGGCTGCTGTGAACCAAGCATCTTTTTTATGTTTTTTAAGTTGTTTATGTGTAAATCAGTGAAACTTGAACGCCAAGTCAACAATGTTAAATATGATCTTCAAACTGGTCCTGGGCAGTTATTTGTGAGTCCAGCTCAAAATACAAAATGAAAACATAACCTTCACAAATACATTTGTTGTTATTAGTTCATGATATGTTTTGAGATTGGTGTACTAGCCCACTGATCAATACGGTTTCCTTAATATGATTTATTTTTGTGCATGTGTTAAGATTTCACAAATGCAGTACTTTTCTTAAAATCAATGTCATTTTTTTCTTTTACCCAGCAAAAGCAGAAACACAAACAACAACAACAACAACAGATCCGTGGAGTGGCCACTTCTCAATATGCCCTGAGGAGCTGAAACATTACTGCATCCATGGAGAGTGTCGTTACGTTCAGGAGCAGAACACACCCTCCTGCAGGTGAGGGGAAGAGACAAAAAAAGGAGGAAAACTGAGGAAAAATATTTTGTAAGAGACGTTCAGCTTCAAAGAAAGCAAGACAGAAGGACAGACTTGTTGAGTAATGTCTTTTTTTTTTTTACATCTGGTTGAGGTTTTAAATGGTTAAGCTTAGTAAATGTTAAGTAGCAGGCAAATATTTGGCAGTATTTAGATTTAATTTAAAAAGCAGAAATTGAAGCTAAGTGCAATTTTTCTTCTTTGTCTCAGGTGTCACAGTAATTACTTTGGCTCACGGTGTGAATATCTGGACTGGGAAGCACAAAAAGGACACAAACGACGAATATTAATAGGCTGCATCATTGCAGGACTTGTGGTCTTGACTGCCCTTGTTATGTCCATCTGCATCTATTCACAGTAAGATAATTTTTTTTTTTTTTACCAGTGTATAAAAAATATAGTTTACCTTCCTGCTGCCCTTGGGTCAAAATGACCCATAAAGCCTCAGTTTAAAAAGTGTGGGTCTTTTCGATCTAAAAGGCAGGAGGAGCGAGGAACAGTGTGGCATTCTCCACTCCATCTATGGCTACATTTATCCTCAGAGAGTTGTGAGGTCACTGGGTCCGTCTCGCTCTGCTCCTGTCCTTGTCCACGTGAGAAATGTTTATCAGGAGATTTTTACCAGACAGTATTTTTGGTTAAAAAAAGGTTTGAGTTTGTTTCCATCTCCATCTTCTACTGCTAATACAGCAGGTAAAATAAGTATTGAACACGTCACCATTTTTCTCAGTAAATATATTACTAGAGGTGCTAATGACATGAAATGTTCACCAGATGTCGGTACAAAGAAATCAAACATAAATGTCCAGAAATGAAGTTATTGTAATAATGTGGAATGGCACAGGGAAAAAGTATTGAACAC